GAATTTAAAAATACATTTTAAGTAAAAGTATGCAATAAAAGGGCCAAAATTGGAGCTCAATATTTTGAGATGAAAATGAGTAATTTTTGCTTTTACATGAAATTTGAAAATAAACCCTGAAAATAATTTTTAGTTTAGTGAAGAAATTCTCATTTGTCTCATTAACAAAGACAAAATCTGAAAAGCAAATGGTGATTGTCAGGGCAAGACTAATTTCAATACTTCTTTGGTAATTTTTTAAAGACTAAATACCTCTAACTCTCATCCAGTCTTTAGAACCAGGAAAGAACATAAACAAATGGGATAAGACTATACATCCTTTCTGAAAAGCTGTGAATAAAGCCAACCCACAAAAAAGGGGGGGGAAAGCTCCAATATCCATTTTTTGCACAATAACTTGTAAGTTTGTCATGCTAAAAGCAGCTAGTAAGCAATTATATACCATCTCCTGGAAATCACCAAAAGAAAGGCCATTTACTTTTCCACATATGCATAATAAATCACACTGTCATTGATTATCTTTGGATGAAGTCCATCTGAATTTTGTGAAACAGAGCAGATATATAGTGGGAAGAACAACTTGGAAAGTAACACGTTGCAACAAACCTATGTTTACCCATCTGCAGGATCAGCTGCAGTTTCCTAAACTGAAAAAACAAAAAACAAGCAAAAAAGATATGGTTAGAAAGAAAAAGGAGAAAAAGCCAGGTAAGACCAGGAAAAAAAAAAAAAAAAAGCAAGTAGAATGAGTATCCATTTTATGTCTTCCTCCAGACACTGAGGAATTAAAAACACTTGAAAGGCAAAAAGAAAACTTCAATTAAAAACAAAAGATACAGCAGAATCTAACAATTAGAAACCATGAAATTATCAAGACTGTAACTGCTAGCTTTTATTAGGATGCTATGTATTCTACCTGCCATTTCTCTTTTCCTGATCCAGTCCTTCTCTACCATCACATCTGCATAGTTAGGTGGTTTAGATGCTTGGGGCCATTTTTTTTTTTTTTTTTCCTAATTATGAGGAAAAAGATTGATGAAGTTTCAGAAACAGATTTCTTCTTTATTATTTACTTCATAAGCCTGTATTTAAACCAAAGATATCATATAAAAAAGACATGATAGAAATTGTAGTCATATAAAATCACTATCTTCACAGTATATCCTTCTACATAACAGATTGAATAGCATTCACAGTAAACATTAAAACAGACATAGACACACAAAGACACACATGCACACACACCCAAGTGGGCACCACACATAAACATCCAGAAAGATCCAATCCTGCCATGATCTTGTTGAAATTCTTTACCTTTTAAAAGAATGAACGTACCTTGAAGAAATGTTTTTGGTCAAATAAGGTGGAAAAAAAGAAATATCCTGAGTCACATACTAAGATTCCAGGTATCAAAGAGATGTAAGTAGACCAAATATCTGAAGGTACAGTCAGACAGATAACTCTGAACTGTTTGTAGAAAACTTAAACCTACAACCAAGACAGAAAAAGCTATTCACACAATTATTAAAGAAATAGTATTTACCAAGCTAAAAAATAGCAAACAGACTTTGTGGGAACTTGTATCCCCAGAGCATGAAGATCTATTTTCAATTTAATTGTCAATACATATTTATTAGAGTTTGTGTGTGTGTGTGTATAATATAATAAATAAAGAAATAAATCTCCATGGTTAGAAATGGCCCTCACAGCTAAAGTCAACTAAATCTAATAAACGAGAAAATCACCGATAGATTAATAGTCGAAAACATGTGTATATAGCCAACAATACATAACATTTCTGAAAAAATAGACTTCAAAAGATGTAAGAAGCCAAGAAAGATCCAAGAATCATAGAATACTAGGCTGAAAAAACATAAAAGCCCAACCATGCTTCTGAAGTATCTGCCATCTTTGAGGAAATACAAAACCATGAAATTGAGAACAGTCACAATTAAAAGAACTTCCACAGCAATATGGAAACAATACTTTTGGAAAATAGAATTATGGGAAAATAATAGAGAACAAAAGATACAGTTTCCACATAGAGCAATAAGTGCTGAAATACTCAGTCAACAGTATTTGTTGAATGTGTTTCCGTGCTACATACTGGGGATACAGTGGTAACCAGGACAGAAATGGTTCCTTCACGGAACATATATTCTAGAAGTTCTAAGTCAATATGTTTCTCAAATAATAGTGTGAATCAAAAATCAACCAGATGCAAGTTCCAAATTCAGATGCTCCATCTCCAGGAATTCTGATTCAATAGGTCTTGGGTGGAACCTAAGAATATGCTTTTAATAAGCTTTAGTACAAAGAGTGAGCTCTGCTATTAATTAGCTATACAGCTTTGGGCACAAGTCACTTAACTTCATCTCTACGATGGGAATAATTCTGCTTGAAAGGTTTATTCTAAAGAATAAAAATATTTTTTGAAGTGCTTCGCACAGTACCTGGCACGGTTATACTCAAAATGGCAACTGCAAAACAGCTATGGCATACCAGAAAGAGTCCCAAAATCTGGATTCACATTTAACTTAGATGCTCACCAAGCATCTAACACCAGACAAGTCATGTGAGCTTTAGTTTCTAATTATGTAATCTGTGGGCAGTAATATTTGCACTGTTTACCACAAAGCGACCGATATTGGAAGACAAAAGCTAGGTATTTTTGGTAAGCCATAAAAAATACTACAAAAAGGTAATAATTAATAGTAGAGACTACCAGCACTTTTAGTCATAGCCAAGTATACAAAAATATCATAAAAAAAGAAAAAGACTTGTGGGAAAAAAAATTTTTTTACCTTATTTATTTTTGCAACAAAATGTACTTATTCATTGAAGACTGTATTGAGTACCAACTGTATGCCACCTGGGAAAGGATAACTCGCCAAATGTTAACCATGAATGTAGTCTCCATAAACACATTACTAATATCACAAATCTTAACACTGCATTGAGGGTAAGACAAGTTGGATACAGTCTCACAAGTAAATACGAGCTGGAAATACTACCAAAAGAATAGAAAACCCCTGGTCACTCAGTCCAACCACCTCTTCAATACTTGTATCTCTCTCAGTAACAATCCTAGCAAGTAATCATCTCTACCAGTTGTAAAAGAATCATCTGGGGAGCTTTTAAAAGTACAGATTCTGAAATTCTGATTCACTAAGTCTGGGGCAGAGCTCTGGGACCTGTTTGTGCTATATGCCTCCCAAGGGATTGTTAAGTGCAGCCAGCATCTGGCCGCCAGTGATGCTGCATGCACTCACCAGCCCATTCTGGATTTGGGCAGTGCAACCAAACTCCGATGATATTAGCTTAAATCTTGCCCACTTCAGTTTCTCTCTTAGTCCTAGTTTTACTCTTTGGCCCACATACAACACAAGCCCAATCCATCTCCAGGCTAAACATCTCCAGTTCCTTCAAGTAACCTACATATGATATGTTTTAAACCTGATAATCCTCAATTTGTCCACATCTTTTTACTAATATGTGGTGCCCAGAAGAGAACACAATCCTCACGTAGAATACAATGGGATACTCTCTCCTTCATTAGAGTCACACTATTTCCATAACACAGCTTAAATGTGCCTTTTACTCAACTGGCCACATATTATGATCACTTTTTTTAAATACACTTACTTTAGAAAAATATCAGACTTACACAAAAGTTGCAAATATAGTAAGGAGAGCTCCTCACCCAGTTTGTTTTCCTTATGTTAACATGTACAGTGCCATAGTACACTTACCAAAACCAAAGCCGAGCTTACTATTTTAAAAACTACATCTTTTTACAGAAATTACTTTCCTGAGCCACATTTCCTTTACCCTGAACACAGACTTTTGGCTTTTCTTTTATTACACGATGCAAATAAAGGCCCTTACATTTCATCTTTTAAGATTCAGGGCAAGATTTCATCTTGCAAGACTCTGACTCCAGGACTTGGACGTTGAGTCTTGCAAGATCAAATGTAACATCCCATACTTGTCGAGATTTTTGAGGTCCCATACTTGTTAAAATATTCTGAGTCAAGGTCCAGTTAGACTACCTCCACTATCGCCACTAGATTCATGCCGCACACGTATTTGGTAAGCAAGGCTTCTCGACTTTCATCCAATTCAACAGGCTGTGGCTTGGGGTAATATAAACCTCCCTCAGGTTGCATTAAGTAACTTCTGATACATACTGTCAATGAATTACGAATCCAACCAATTACTTGTACATCCATTTACTTTGTTTTGATGCAAAGATATTCCCTGCCTCAGGGAAGTTCAGACACTGCATCTCCACATTTTCATTTAATACTCGTCTAATATATGTTTGCATGTTCTGATTCTTCAGCTGAAAGGTTTAGAGCATCTGCACCACGGAAGAAATCCATTCCCCAAATGACTCTGAAATACTTAGGCAAAAAGGGAACTCTCTGTTCTTAACATCTACCGGGAACTCACTGAAACAGTTAATGATCATGTGTGAAAACCTGTGCTCATTGACATCCAGAGAATTCCTCAGGAGTCACAAACTAAAATCAGAAGAAAAAGCAAGGTGGTATTAGCAGTATTATTCCTTCGAGAAGAAAAGAGAATTCAATTTATCCTCTTGAAATTAGTTACTGGCCTAAATTACCATAAATCTTAGGGAACAAAATGGCATAAGATAGCAATTTATTATTGAAATCCTGATTAAAAAGGATAATTTAGACATGCGGACCCAAAGAAAGCTATACTCAGCTCTATCAATCGCTGCCAGAAGATTTTTTCTAAGCAGTTTACTTCTCCTCAAAAGATGTGAATACTTTCCAATTCTGTTTATCTCTCAAAACCAGGCTGTGGAATTAGAGTTTTTAAATTGCAAACTAGAACTGACAATGCTTTCAGGAAGGCTGCAAACTCACAGCCTTCCTATTACACCAGTGAGTTTCTTAAAATGGGAAAGGCATTGAAAAAAAATCTTGAAGCAAGCATCAGAATGCCAAAACAAAGCTCTTCAAACTCACCTCATAGTAACTCCGAACCGCATTGCAAAATGCTTCATCGGCTATGATTTGGGTTTCCCCGTTGAGGAAGGCTTGGAACCGATCTTTCAGTAACTGCAATTGTTGCTTGTTCAGCTATAAGAAAAAGAGAGATTTAGTTGAAAAATTAGCCCATCCATGAAATGTAATGATTCTTAAAAGTTATATTCACTACATATATATTAGATTTGACACCTAGAATTAACTTTATGGTAAATAAAAGCTAAAAAATCCCACTATTTATGCTTATGGCTCAATTGTAAATGTTTCCCAGTCACTTCCCCACACACTCTGGAATCCTGATATTGCAATGAAATCCAAATTTCTACCCCAGACAGAATTCCTGTGATTACTAGCCAGGTCTCTCTGCACAGACAGGAGAAAACTAAAATTTGGATGAGAAATTAACTTGTGCAAAATTGCCAACTGTCCTGAACAGAGAAGGCAGAGAAGACAAGCACTCTTGGAGGGGAGTGGACAACCATCAGCCCTAGAGAAGAGGAACAGGAAGGAAGACTGCAAAGGACAAAGGAACTCTGAGAAAGAATCCTCTGGAAAGGACATGTGTCCGATGCCAAAAGTTTGGATTCCATGAACAAATATGTTTGTTCAATGCCTGAGGTGAGATAAAGGAATGAGAAAGAGACAAATCCAAAAGAGAACAGAGGCGCAACAGGTGGACAGTGAGTGCATCTTTAAGAATGTTGGGGGAAGAGCTGTGAACCAGGGAGAGCAGTGCAAGTTTAGAACCAGATTTCTTCACCCTGGGTCTAGCTACTATAGTTATTACGGAGGGTGGGTTAGACATGAACTGTGACTTACCAACCATGTCTTCTAGTCATCAACTACAAGCAGAATCAGTCATTTACTTAATTTGTAAGGCCCAGTACAAAATGAGAATGAGGAGCCCCTGGTTGAAAAAGAAAAAACTACACTAGAGGTAGGACACAGGACATGCAGAAGGATTTTTTTTTTTTTCTTAAGTGCTTAACCAGAGAGAGAATAACATAGGCTTGCATATAAAAAACAATAAATCCCAAGATGCATAAGGAACAGGGAAGGAGTGATCTTTCCATTTCATTCGATTCCCATCAGACTATTAAAGAACTCAGGCCAGTTCTGGATTCTATAGAGAGATGTGAAGCATTTGGAAACATGCTGAGGATAAAATGATTCAAGGATTAGAAAGACTAAACAAACTGGTATGATTTGGCTATGAAAAGAAAGCTGATGTGAAACAAGTTTAAATCTGTTCAAAGGGCTTATTAAAACAACATTCAAATATAAACAGACAAGCTCTTTCAGAAAAATGGGTTTTATTTAGGAGTCTAACAAACAAGACAGTTTGTAAAGAAACTGTTGCTGGTAGTAACAGACTGATAAAGAAGTGTCTTATTGTACCCCAGTATATATTTAAAAAAAAAACAAAACAAAAACAAACCTCTTGCCTTCAGCAGTGAAGAGAGAAGACCATTCCATTTCTTTACTAAGGTTATCTCCATCTTAGGAAAAGCTAAAGCAAGCTGAAATGCAGGAACATCACCATTACATTACATTCTCCGTTTCTATAACATGAAGAGAATGAAAGCAGGGACCTTTGGTGTGTTTGTACTAGCAAGGCAAATTAAGTCCACAACTTCAGCTCTCGAAGCATGGTTCACAAAAGGGACCAGATGGAAATAGGACAGCAATTGCTGAGAGCAAGACAGCTGAGAGCACTTTAGTTGCCAAGCCCTGGGAACTGCCAAGGGCTTCGGCTTGCAAACCAAGTGTCCAGGCAAAACAATGGAAATGTATGAGGGAATGACAACAAATTGGAGGGGACCTTAATGATCATTTGTCCTAACTACCTCATTTGATAAAATAAATATCATTCAAAAAACGGAAACCGTGGATTTCTTCATTCAATATTCTTTCATCAGACACATTTTGTTCTTTAAAAATTCCTATAAATCTTTGTAATTTCTAGCTTACAGTATTTAAAATTAGTTAAAAATCTAGTGTTTAAGTTTAGCCCTTGTATCAATGACTTTTTGGTGATTATGGCATGGAAAATTCATGAAGACAAATCAAGGAAAGGAGATTTGAGCAAACTCTCTTCTTGGAAACTCCAACAATGTTGGTACAGTTCATAAAACATGCCAGAGATACCTGGATAATATGAGGCTTCAACTTTTTTATGAATAAAAATTACTGAAGTTGTGTTTAAGACACAAAATGATAGCAAATATTATAGTGACAAACAAACAGTCAATACATGGATACTTTATTAGTATAGAGAAGAGGTCTACATTTCCACATAAAAGATAAGGAGAAAAAAAGGAAATTACATTTAAAATCTAGCAGTGGGGAGAGCTGTCAGAAAGCAGAGTTCCCTAAGATCTATTTGCATTACCAAAAAACTGCATTATACAACAACAGATAGACCAATGGAACAGACGTTAAGAAAAAGATCTAACTACTATCAGAAATGTACTATAAAATATCTTTATAGCATCTCAAGTCAGTAGTAAAAGATGGTCTATTCAATCAATGGTGTTAGAATAACTGGGAAGCCATGCAGAAAAACAATTACATTGAACCATAACGTACACTGTTACAATCCAAATGCACTAAAACTTGCAATGTTTTAAAATTTAAAAGATGTAACTGTCAAGGTACTAAAAGAAAAAATGGCAAGATTCCTTTCAACATCATATGAGAAAGACCTTTGTAACCATGAATCAAAATCCACAAGGCATAAAATTGCATAAACATTAAAAATAAATTTAGCATGGCAAAAGATACCATAGGCAAAAATCACTGGAAAAAAGACTAACCAGCAAAAAAAATAGAACTCATATCCTAAAGAGCTAGTTTTCAAACACAGATCCTAGAAATTGATAAGAATATGCCCAATAAGTCAATAGAAAAACGGACAAAATGGATATATTCAGAGAAATGACTCAAGCTATGAAAACAAGCCTAACTTCATTCATAATAAGAAATGCAAGTTAAATCGACATGAGACAAGAAGGTTTCTGGGAAGATGGAGGAGTAGGAAGCACCAAAAATCTGTCTCCCACCTAGACAACAATTGCATTGGCAGTATCAGTCTGATATAAATATTTTGTAACTCTGGAATCTATTACAGGCTTACCACTTACAGAGGAAGGCTTGAATGGAAATTGAATTTCAGCCAATTTCAGCTCTTAGTCCTATAGCAACTACCCATCCCCCATCCCCGACCCCTGGGGCCTATGGCAGCAAAAAAAATGCCAGCAACCTAAATTTTCACAAATATAAGCCACTACACTCATAGAAAAGGGGTAACAGAACTTGTATTTGAATTTGCTTCCACATGCAGAGAGAAATTATGGAAGAAGGATGGCTGTACGAACTGGACAGATGGAAAAGAAGAGTGAACGATTTTTCAACCTATACTGCTTTATTCATTTTAGGTTTCAAATCACAAGAGCCTTTTTATGAACTCAAGTTTTAACGAGATTTAAAATAAGCTATAACAGCAACTTTTAACAATTCTGATCCATCATACACTTTAAATCTGATCATCCTGCAGGGAGACTGGACAATCAACCAACTGACTTTTTCAAGTCTCCTTTCAGGTAGAAGATTGAACTTGACTGCATCCTTTTTTTTTTTTTTTTTTTTTTTTACATTTTGGCCCAAGATTGAGGGTTTTTTCCAAGTTTTTTCAAACTGTTTTGTTTAAAACAGTGATCCATCAGTGATCCAACAGTGATCCATTTACCCTTATGAACTATCAGGGTAAAGTTTCTAGAGCATGGCATGGATGAAAGGTAATACCAGCATCTCACACGGGACTAAAAGACAAGGACAGCAACACAATTTTCTAATCAACGCATTAATCTTTCACAGTCCATACCAAGTAGTCTCTCAGACTCCGTATGAACCTATTAAAACTCTCTCTCTCTCACACACACACACACACACACCCTACTTTATTACCTCACAATGAAGCCAATTCTAATTTTGGACAGCTATGAAGAATTGAAAGCTGCTTCCCAATGACTTCCACACAATCCTAGTTATGCGCTAAAGACAAAGCAGACAATGTTAACTTTCCTGCTTCCGAAGAGTTCAGGAACTTGAAGATACCTAACGATTATTTGTGAGTCTTCTCTTTTCCAGAATAAACTTTGCCAGTCCCCCCAATGTCCTAAGGGTACTCTCCAATTTGTCCGTAAATTAAGCATTAAATAGTTTTATTTAACTAAGTTTTATTTAAGTAAGTATAAAAAAGCACTTTGAAAGCCATAACCTTATGCAAATGAAACTCATTACAATAGCAACGTCCCTCCTAAAATGTACTGGGTACAGTGATCATGATTCTAGGATAGTATGGCCAACACAGAGACAAGTGGGAGGATCACTTCCCACATTCTAAGCACTCTATGTCTATTAATTCAAACTAAAAACAAATTAACTCTTCTTGGCAGTCACATCAACTGACTCACATGGTGCTTATAATCAACAAAAGTTTCTAAAACATTCTTACATGTGCTTCACTAAGCCATGTTTCATTTTGCTAGATTTATTTTGTCCACTTTTCCAATTGATCAAGGTTTTTTTTTTTTTTTTTTAGAATTCTAATTCCTTCACCCAATGACTAAAGAGCTCTCCTAGCTTTGTTATATCCACTAACATAATATGGTGTTATCCACAGTCTTCATCCAGGTCATTATAAAAAGCTTCATCAGTCCAGGATTAAGGAAAGCAGGAAATCTGTCATTACATGTATTCATCCAGTTTGACACAATCTATTAATTAAAATTCTTTGGGGCAGTTGATTTTATTATTATTCAGCCTACATTTTAGTTTTGCTCACATATTGTCTTCACACTAGTCTATTTACCAATGAAGGAATAAGATATTTTTCAAAAATAAAGAAAAATTTAACCAGCAGAAATTATCTAATGGGAATTTTACAAGCGCTTTTTATATGAAACTAAATTGCAGATACTTAACTAAAACATAAATATCCATGCAAATATCTAAATACAACCAAGAGATCAGCCTTACAAAAAGAACACTTCAAATACTGACAGTAAAAGCTAAATTTTATAAATCCTAGC